ATTTTAAAAAGAAATGATTTTTATGAAAATTTTAAAATAGTTAATTTACTTTAATTAAATATGGCAATGGTAATTTGTTCGTAACCGGTTAACCAGTTAAAAAAAATTATCATTTTAACGGTTAGTTAACTGGTCAAAGAATTTTTAAATGGTACCAATCTCTAATTCGAATCACCTAATTTTGATTCGAATCAGTTCGAGTCGAATTGAATCAAATTCGAACTGTATCCTGATTCGAGTATTAAATATATAATTTGATTCAATTTGATTTGAACTGATTCAACTCAACACGATTCGAACTAGTGATGGTAGCCGAAGTTTTGCTTAGTGGGCCTAAAATTGCCAAAATTAATTGGCCTAAACTTTGACGAAACTAATTTTAATGGGAGTTTTTTAAAATAAAGTAGATTGATTTAGATACTTATTATATGTATTGGACGAACCTACTTTTTTCCAAAACAGTTTTGGCTACGATCACTAAATAATATCCTTTATCAATTAAAAAATTTAAAATATACACAATCTTGGTTTAGCAGATAGTTTGGGTAATTAGAAAAATTTTTTCCAAAAATCAAACCTTATCACAGCGGATATAATAATAATGATAATTAAATTCTTATCATAACGGATTTTTAAAATTTTGCTTCACATATAAAAACATATAAAATTTTCTTCTTATTATTATTATGTGTCCCGTCTATCCGTTGTGACTATATCAAGAAATCCGTTATATTGAAGAATATTATTATTATTATTATATTAAACCTCAATATGTATTATACATTAAATTGAAGTGCACTACATTGAGATTCACTGTATTTAATATGACATTAAGAAAAATTTAGGAATCCGGTTTGATTCGAATTGATTCGAATCGAATTGACTACAGAACGAATCGAATAGAATCAAATCATTCTAAAATTCGATTCGACTCGATTCGATTCGTTCGGAGTATATATTGGTCTTGGGCAAGTAATATCTTTGTATTCATCTTTCACAAATGGGCAAATATTCTGGTAAAGCTTTTGTAATCCAAAGGTGGTGTTGTTAATGCTAAAATGGATAAAGCTCTAATTTCTTCTAAAATATCTGCTTTCTTGGTTTTCAATAAATTGAATTCAGCAAAAGGTCCATTAGCAATTTCCCGAGCTTTGACCACTCCAAAATTAATTGCTTCAAAAAGAAAATGTTGATATTTTTGTATACTTGGTAATTTCTTGAAATAAATTCCCAAAATTGCCTTAATATCTAAGTATTGAAAACCTTTTCCACCTTCATAACATTGAACTTTATTTAATCCTGCTGGACTGGACCTTTTCACTACATCAACCACATGACCCACACAATCTACTTTTGTTCTTCTGTAGAGTTTTTTAATCATGCCAAAATTACCATCACATTTGAATTTGATATGTCCTGGACCATGAAATTTAATTCAATAGTTTCATAATAACCAAATATAAATAAAACCAAATTGTTACATTGTTTTTATTTTGTCCCCAGCATTAACACAAGTAATCTTTAAATGCTTTTCACCCTTATTTAATCTCTTAATTCCATCAAAGATCATACTAAGTGTACCATTGGGGCCTTTACCTATAATTTTAACTTCATCAAGAACATAATTAATTTGTTCCCTTACTGCTTCATCTTGAATACCAAATAAATGGACTTTATGAGGACTGAGATAATATATTTTACTTATTTGTTGATCAGAATGAGACACATAAACATTTTGGGCTCACTCATAACTATAATGTGCAGTGGCATCAATACTGAAATATGGTGTTTTACCCTTTGAATAATTTTGATTATTCAATTTTCTTTGTTCCTCAGCTAATTTAGTATTTTTATTGTAATAATTTCTTTCTAATCTTGCCCTGGACAGATGTTCTTTGAATCTTTTGAGCAGATCTTTGGCTTCTTCCTCTTGGTGAGCATTGTAATGTAAACCATTTCGAAAATGTTGACAAATATCACACAAGTCAGTCCTTGGACTCATAATTTGAATTTCTAGTGTCAATTGATGTCACAACTTTCTGAAAGCATCATATTTCAAAGATTTTAATTTGCTATCTTCTTCTAGACCAGCCAGAAAATCTCTATACACTGGTTTATAACTCATTTCAGCTGGTAAGAATATAACTGATTGGGTTATCCTATTGATACTTCCTGGACTTGGTAATCCATGAACTACTGCATAATTTTCCAGAAAATTCTTTACAATTTCAGCAACATTTTTATCAATCACCATCTTTGTTTTTCATTGAGGCATTCTTTTTATGTTTCCATGAACTCTTGGTATAAGTCCATTGTTTATTATATGGTTTCTGATATTTTCAAAATAAGTCCTGCCAATCCCCAACATATTGAGGTAAGTTTCTTGACAAAGAAGTGTATTGTGATCCCAATGATAGAAAGTTCTTTTATTAGATCTAGTTTTCTTTTTAAGGCGTCTACTAGTGCTTATTGATCCACCATCCATTGCTTTAAGTTGGGCCATTAAAAATATGTCTTGTTCTGTTTTAGAAAGAGCTTGAAAGGATTCTCTTAATTCTGCAAATTCTTCCTTAGGAATTCTCAAAGAGCAACCACATTTACAACCTTTTTCTAAAAAATCAATGGCTTTTTGATATTCATTAGAACCATGATATTTATTATTACTTTTCATATACACTTATCCCTATATATACAATTTTATGTTCACTTTGTAGGTATTCATTTATTTTAAAATTGAAGAGATTCTAAATTTGAGTGGATCTGCAAAGAAATATCAGAAATATTTTCAAGTATATATTCAATAATTGATTTAAAAAAGAAAATAAAAATCTTCAAATTGGTTCCATGAAAAATAATTATGTCTAGATTTAAATTATTTATTATTACTAAAAATAGATAAGATAAAATCGTGGAAATTATTATCTTGATACCTGTAATTTCTTGGTTGTAGTCAATAATTTAATTTTAGGGAAATTATTGTTATACTAAAAAAATAATTAAGGAAATTGTTTATTGTTTAAATTATTATTTTGAGATTGATTATACTAAAACAGTAAAATGTAATAAAAAATGTATTTATTTAATGATGTTTATATTATTTAAATTATAGAACATTATAATATAACATATACTTTCATATTATATAAATAAACAATCGATTAATCAATTAACAAATTTTTGACTGATTCTAATTTCTATGTGTGATTAATTCAATCATTAAACATTAAAGAAAGAAACAAACAATTTCAGAGTTAATGCCATTGCAAAAGTAGAATAAAATAATATTTTAAATATAATTATATAGATAAAAAACAAACATGACTTAGCTTTTTTGTTGTTATTCAATCCTTTCCTTCTATGTGAATACATGCATCAATTAAATATTTGTGATGATATTGATGATTATGCAATACATTTGATGACATAACAAACAATTGCATCACCCAAGTAATAAATAATACCAAGACCATGCAGAAATGAAACCTTTTAAGAACTTGATTTCGAAACAATAATGTGTGTGTCTATTCAGAATCTTTGGGATTCGCAAAAATGAATAAATGAATAAGGAAGATCAGAAAAAAAATATTTTTCTTTTTTCCAATTATATAGTTCCTTATGAATTGTAAATCTGATGATAATAACAAGTGTCAGATTTAATAAAATTTCCTGTCACAAATTTGCAAAATGTGCAATTAAGCACTTTTCAGCACCATGGAATTTTTTCATTTCCACAGGTGAAAGCATCTTAAACATATTGGAAGGCTTTTATAAGGTAGACAAAACCTTCTTTATCTTCCCATCAAACCAGACTTGAATGTTACCATACAGCATCAACTGCTGATGAGAGTTGGCACTTGTGTGATGCTTGCTTTGTGCTATCTTCCCCCAGAATAAAGTTATAAGATGGGCATCTGCAGTTGATACAAAATTCTGCAACTGAGGAAGTTGCAACCTGGGTTGCTGTTTTGTCAGGGAACACCAACCCTAGGGAAGGAACAATTTGGGCAAAAACCCAATCCCTACTCTGTTTAAAAAACAATAAAATTGGTTAACCAAATTAAAAATTTACCAAAAAACAGAATTTCGAAAAATGATTAATTTGTACAGAACATACCAAAATTATGGCTTTTTTCTTGTTGGCCCTTTCCAAAAAGATTATTAAAAAGTGCAAAGAATTCCACTTTGTATGTCATTTAGTTGACAAAAATATTGAAATATATAATCTATAGGACAGAGAACTATTTGGGCAAAAGCCCAGTAATTATAAATTAGGTTAATATCAAGAGAAACAGAATAATTAATCTGTATAGAAGAAACACTATTTTACAGCTTTCCTCTTAACATCCAGGACCAAATGCAATTCCTAACACACTCTGAATTGTAATTTCTTCCCTGAGCTTGAAACAAGTTGCAGATTCTCTTAATATTTCTCCAGAGTTGTGATTTGGTCACAGAGTCATCCTTACCCTAGAGGTAGGATCGTTGCAGGAAATTCAGCAGCCTCCTCTGGCCTGGTGCTGTAAGAAAAGATTGGTGAAAGTGTCCTTGATGATTGATACAGTCTCAGTAAACTCCAGGACCATGCTAAATCCCCTGGAATTCAGTTGCATCATTGTATCATCAGGGGGCGCAAGTCAGATTAGCCTTATACCCACATAAATAATTAGTGTACACATTTGTTGACTGTTCAACAATCTTTTTTTTTTAAATTTTAAAAAATTTTTTTTTAAGATGTTGAATTATAAAAAATTAAGAAAGCAAGCAGGAGGAGTAGCAGATGATTGTGGATAAGTGTTTATCATAATAATAAGAATGGTTGTTATTGCCACCACTTGTTGACACTCTAGTTTCTAATAATGAGGTAGCAGATTCAATTTCAAATTATATGTTAAAGAAATTGTACTACATTCATACATTAATACACATATTCCAAATACATATCTTTGTTGTAGAATATACATCGTTATTATTATTTATGATGTTATTATTATAATTATCAGATGGTGAATGTTCTGAACAAATCATCTGATAATTATATCATAAATAATAATGATATTCTAAACGAATCAACATTATCTGATAATTATAACGCCATAAATAATAACAATGTTCCAAATGAATCAACATTAGCATCTGATAATTATAACATCATAAATAATAACAATGTTCCAAATGAATCAACATTACCATTTGATAATTATAATGTATGAGTATTCCTGTTTATTAGTATGTCAATTTATTTTTATTTTTGTCAACTTATATATATACATATTTTTTTTTTTGAATCTTAGAGAAGGTATAATTATACATGAAGTCGAAATTAAAACCCTAAAGTCGAAATGTTTTGACTTGAGGCAACTAGATAGTAAAAATCAGTTTCGACCTTATTTCTACCCTATTTTGACCAGATCTGCAAATGGTTGAAATAGTTTCGACTTCATGTATAGGTATGATCTCTGAATTAGGAGACAAATGGATTACAATGTTGGACCACCATATAAAAAATGCTGCCACCAAGTAAGTATAAACTGAAACATTAGTAGTAGACATAACATTTTATTTATTTATTTACTTATATTTATAGGACTCATCATCATCACCATCACTACAATCATCATCACAATCATCATCACAATCATCATCACAACCGTCACCACAACAATTTAATGATGATGAGGTATATATATAATATAAAACTATAATTACAATTATATCTTAAAAATATTGATTTTTTTTTTCATTTTTTATATATAAGCAGAGTGTGCAAATTTGTGCCCATGACATTGTTTATAATAATGTTAAAGAATGTTATGGATAGTGTTAGGAAATGGATTAACGATTGGATTAATGAATAAAAATATGCATGTATATATAATATTAAGATTGCATTTAAAATTGTATCATAAATATCAGATATTCTTGATAATTTAAATATTTGCAAAAATAAAGAATAATAATAATAAAATATAAAAATTATTATTTGCTTAATTTTAAACAGTCATTGTGAATATGTAGAATCTGATTTATGTTGTCCAAGTGATTTAATTAATTAACTAACTATATATATTGTTGGTTAGGTTAAGATACTAATTCAATCCTCACATATAATAATTAATTTATCTTATTGTTGCCCAACCTCAAACCAGTAACAAGCTGTTACCCTTGGTTTTTGCAGATGTTACTTGGGTAATAGTGTAATTAATATTCATTAAAGATCTCAGAATTTCTGTCTGTATTAGAGATGGGCAAAATTGCATTATGCATTATGCGCATAATGTCCCAATGAATAATGAATTGTGTAATGTTACACTTAAAAAAAAATATTACTATTTTATGCCTCCACTTGGTCTAATTTTACAAAGCTTGGCCATGAGGCCACTTATAAACAAGAAGGAGCTCAATGTAATTATTTTTCACATAAATTGCTTGCTGCTTCAAGTCATTGTGAACAACACCTTAAAAAATGTACCAAAGTTTCATGTCATGTACTTAACAAACATTTTCAACAAAATCAATCTGAGATTTCTACTTCCTCTTCCTCTTCTATCTCCTCTTCTTCTTTATCTCAAGCAGCCCATTTAGTTAACAACTCAATTTTTAGTTTTATTGATAGAATTTAATAAATCATTTATAGAAAAGATCATCATGCGCATAATGCAAAAAAAAGTTGCATAATCCCATCTCTAGTTGTAAACTTGTTTCAAAAACAATAATTAATTCTATTGTTGATTTTTTAAATACTTGCTAATGCCAACTAATCAGAATCGCCAAAAGATAAAACAATGCTTTTCTTTTTCTTAAATAAACAATTCTCCACTTCAAAAGAGATTGCACATATTGCATGATAAAAGTTTATCATGTGAAAAAAGGTATTTAAAATCACGCACATAGATCGATTTCAGAAAAAAAAAAATTTTTTTACCACCCAGCAAAAACAAAAAATTCCTTCCCAAAAAATTAAGTTTGAAAAACATAGATTTCTTCCTGATCATTGCAATTCAATGCATGATTGCAAAGAATAGTATATGAAACAAATCATTTGCCATACAACAAATTTTTGCTAAATATGGTGAATGCCAAAAACGAAGCACAACCAAACACAAAAGGAGATAGGGTTTGTATTCATGAATACCATTAGAGGTCATACAAGGTCACACACTATGAAAATCAAAGCAAGGATGGTGATTTTATGCAGCAATAAAATGTCAATTATGCATGCAATAAAAGTTAATTATGCATAAATTATGCACCAAAAATTCCAATTATGCAATTATTTAAAAAATATATTTAATTGTATTTAAGAATTGAAATACATCATATTTAATTTCTTTAATGAATCAATTGATAAATTCTGGTGATCACTATCCAAAAGAGAATTATATTCAGAAAAACTTCTCTCCACACTACAACTTGAAATAGGAAGCCAAATGTAATCTAATGCAATTTTTGAAAATAGTGGTAATTGTTGTAACATACCTAACCAATATTGATTTAAGTCAAGATCATCTGAAGATGAATTGTATTCAAAACCACAATAAATTCCCCATTCTATAATTAATTCATTGCTTGGATTTTGTAATTCTGTTATTGCACTATAAGCATCAGGAAAATGGGTACAAATATTATGTGTATATAATACACAATTGCAGGGATTAAGCATATAATATGCATACAAATCACGTATTTTTTTATGTATGCAAATTGTACATATATTATATGCTTAATCCCTGCAATTGCATATTATATATGCATAATATTTGTACCCATTTTCCTGATGAATGTTGCGAGCATGCAGTCTGAATTTTCTTGTTTAGCACTAGTTATTTATACTTGTAACCCACTAGATCTTCTTTCTAGTGACTTTTATTAAGTTGTTCTGGATTCCAAATCCCAAGTTAATTAAAGATTCCCAATATATTCCCTGAATATAACCTATCTATATCTGACCTTAGTCCAGATAACCTGAGGATTTTGTGGATTTTCACTATATCACATGTTTAGATATAGTGACCTATATTCCAGCACTTAGTGGAGATAACAGGCTTTACCAATAATTAATTATTTTCTAGCTAGCTACTGATTTACACTGATTCCCTGTCCAATATTCTCCAAAGACATCCCCTTGATAATATATATATCACTTAAGATAACAAATGAGACATTATAAAACTAATTGTGATTATAAAACTAAATTTTGATCCCTGAAATTTTTGGTAATACCAATGTTCGCTTTGTCTGGTTTTGTTACGGTATGCCCCTTATAAGGTTGATAGTGCTTCAAATCAGCCTGTATTATATCTTAAAGATACTAAAAAAGAACTATGGGAGAAATTCTCAACAATATATCCCAATGGTTTTAAAAGGACAACCTTCATGAAAGAATTAAAAAGCCCAAGGTTTCAATATCAGGAAGATCTTGGGGGTCTTTGTTCAATCTGTTGCAATTTATGGTTATGATGTTTTTGAAAATTTAATTGCTTTAGTTTCAGCAAGTAATATATATAGTGAACAAAAGGTTGGTTATGTATGTATGTATGTATGTATATTGTTTGTACAAAACATATTTATGTATAACAAATAATTTTTTGTTTTTGTCAATAAGTCAAATTTTATTAATAGAATTGAACATCCATGAAGGCATATAAAAATAAATTATGAAAATGAAATCAAAATTGAAAATGATGGACAACCTCACCATGATCTCTGTATATCATGTTGTCTTGCATATGCTTTTGGTATCTGTACAGATTTACATGAAACAATTTGTTCTAATTGTAATGAATTTTGGATTTTATTCAAGGATTTATATGATATACTTCAAAAAATATATTAGAAGATGCTCAAGATAAACTAATTTATTATCTTAGTCACCGAACTTGAAAGGTTTATCTAAATTCTCAATTTACTTTTAATCTTAGAGAACTTGATTATGATGGTGCTGTCTTGTTGGTAGATTACAAAATGAGAATTCTTCCAAAATCAGCTCATGAGACCAAAGAAAAATTTTTTTGAAAAAAAAGGTTGGACATTGCATAGTATTTTATTATATACTAAAAATCAAGAAGATACATTAGAGATCAATGCATATGATCATTGGTCCAATGACTCAAAACAAGATGCTTGGTTTACAGCATCTTCATTCCATGCAGTTATTACATCCTTAGAAAAAAACCCTAAATGGATTTCTATCTCAGATAATGGAGGACATTATCACAACTTAGAATTGATGGTTATTTAAGTTACTGGCATGAGTGGTATGAAATAGAAGTTAGAAAGTGGACATTTTTGGAGCCAGGTGAAGCTAAAACCACTATAGATTCTCATCATGCCCAAGTAAGTGTATTTGTTTATTATCCACTGATTGAAATATTAATACTTGGTATATGTAAACTTGCACAAAGACTGCCTGAAATATGACAGATATTATACCAATTTCAACACAATAATTATGTGTTTTATAAGATTGTACATGCAATCAGAAGATTTGTAAGTTTAGGGAATGACTTAAAAACAGGTAATGATATAGAATCAGCTGTTAAAAAACTTTGAGGAACTTCAATTGCTCATTTAGAACCTGAAAGAAATATAGAAAAGAGAGCGAAAACTTTAGCTGGTGTTTCAGATTTATATTTTTGGCAATGGCCAATTGGTGGAGAGTATAGTAGCTTCATATGTGGTCATGCATTACCTAATGTAGGAGATTGGGTAAACTTTTCACCAGCACAAATAAATGGTTTGGTTAAACAAAAAATTAACAAGCCAGAGCCCACATGTACATCACACTCCATTTCTAAAGAACAATGGAATATACCAATTCCAGATATATTAGGTAAATACAACAATTATCTGAACATTATAAAATTTTATTAATTGAAATTATTTTTGACAAATTACAGGAAAAAAAATGTTGAAAGATCCAAATCTAACAATGACACTGACAATGATAATTTAATTATGTGCAGTGTTGAAAATGAATTTCCACTTAAATCAGGGTGAGCAATTAAAAGAAACCAGGAATTTGGAAAAAGGGAGGAGGTAAGCATATACCAAAAGCTATTGTAGAAATTTTAAAATCCTATTTCACTTGGGGAATAATGATAAGAGTCAAAGGTTTACACCAGAGGATATGCATAAAGAACTTATTGAAGAATCTGTTCATAATGCCCAATTTTCTCATGATGAAATTCCTAAGGTAGAAACTATACATAATTGGGTTTTCTAGATACTCAGCAGAAATGAAAAAAGATGTAGCTGATAAAATGTTAACAAATTACAATAAATGAATTTTCAAGTAATTTATCATATAATTATTTTAATATTAATAACTTGCTTTTGGTGTGATCTAATTTCCTGCCCATTACAAGAACAATTATATGATTATTGATACAATCTTTAATAAAATTATAAATAAAGAAAATTATTTTAACTCTCCTGTAAATTATTCCCCAAGACTTAGTGATGACAGAAGAAATTACATGCCAAGTTTAATATTAACAACTTGCTTTTGCTGTGATCTAATTTCTTACAAGGAAGCAATTTATTTGAACTGTTATTATTAATAATACAATTTTTGATAAAATTATAAATACAGTAATAGAAAACAAGAAAATTATTTTAACTCTCCTGTAAATTATTTCACAGGACTTAATGATGACAGAAGAAATTATGTGGTCAAGTTTTGATCTAATTTTCCACCCACTATAAGAAATCAACTTTATTTGAATTGTTATTAATAATACATTCCTTAATAAAATTATAAATAATAGAAAACAAATTTTTATTTAGAAACAATAAAGAAAATTATTCGACTCTCCTGCAAATGATTTCCCAGGACTTTAATGATGATGGGAGAAATTACATGGTCAAGTTTTGAGTTGTTCTTAAAATTACTAAGAGAGTTACACAGAGAACTTAGGTTTTTTTACTTCAAAATCCAGCGATGCCCAAAAGTAAAGTTTGTTTTTTTATTAAATTTTTTTAAAGATAATTTTATGGTATGAATGGATCTAAAAATCACGTTATTTTTTTGTTTGTGAATATTTTGGTCATGTTATCTTAGAAGAGAAATACTTCAATTCGTCGATTTTTACACATTTTTGCCCCAGATCGACATATAGATTTTTATCTACTTCTCTACGTATCACGAATTAATTTATATTTATTTATATTTATATTTATTTTTATTTTTATTTTTTTATTTTTATTTCAATTCATATATTCATACTCATGCCACCAATTTATTTATTTATAGAAAATGACACATATATGTACGATATTATATAATGATAATTCATGATCAAAGGTAAAATGTTGATTTGATGGAATCAATGAAAAGTTGAAAAGTAAATAATATATTAGACTGTATAATGAAAAACCAAGCCTATGTATTAAAAACATTAAATAAAGAAATACTATATTAATATTTTTACATATTATAAACATCAATTCGAAACTAAATTTCCTTCCCTCTGATAATATAATCAAGCCAGTAAAATTTAATTTTTGCGTGGGAGATCATCACAAAATTTAGCCAATGAAATCAAATATCCACTATGTTGATAATGAGTGATAATGTGAACCTACAATCAAACTCTTATTTCAACAAAATTTGTTTCATTTTATATTTAATATTAAATTGTACAATGATAATAAGTACCAATCACATTATCACATGATATAAATTTAAAAATAAAAAAAGGCAACAATATCAAAATTGTTTAGAGAACATTTGATCCAAATTCCCCAATAATAATAAAAATATGAATGCAAACAACAACAACAAAATTGTTAATTGAAGAAGATGAATGCAAACAACTATAATAATAAAAACAAGATAACACAACAATAAATCATCAAATTCCAAAAAATCTGTATAAATAAAGATGAATTTTTCTTTTATCAATTAAAAAATTTCATGATTATGATTAAAACCTTTGAAAATGTCTCAACAACAACAATAATCATCATCCATTAAAAAACATGTATACGTCTATTTAAAATTATTTGTTTTTTTAAATTTCATTATAAAAATCATTTTTTAATAAAACGGCGCATAATTTGCATAATCTGCCAAGTGTTGCATGCATAATTTAATGTTTGTTGCCGCATAAATCTGGTTTATTATTTAATAATTAAAATATCTTGGCCAAAATTTTAAAGTTTTCTAAATTTGGAGATCAAAATTTTGGGGTCAATTTTCTTTGTAAATTTTGATTTTAGTTTTTTTTAAACAATTCCTATATTAGATTTTTATTTTTTAATTAACTAATTCCAGTAATTCTATATACAAATCTATATATGACGTTACACCATAATATTACGCGGATTGATAATTTATTTTAAAATTGAAACAAATCAAAAATCTATAAGAAGAAAATATCAATGAATTAATAACAACATAAATTTTATTAAATACATATAAGTTTACTGAAAAAAAAGGGATTCTTTTTTTTCCTAGTAAATATTTTCTCAAAGTAAAATTGAATAATAAAAATTTTAAGAAAATTGTTAAATTAAAATTTTTTTATATATTATAACTTTAAATAATCACTGATCTAATACTAATAACAATTATTTTGTCGATTTATTTATTTTTACAATATCTGAGGGCAACCTTTCCAAACGAACTGTCCCTTATTATTATAGTAGAAATTTCACTGAGGCTTCCAGTGAAAGAAAAGATTCTGAAGAAACAATATAACAAAATTATTCTAGGATTTTGGCAAAGAAAATCGGAAATGCTTCCTCTCAAAAACGTTGCTACATCATTATTGTCATCTTCGTCGTCTTCGTCACTGTCACCAAGATTCGTTTCTTCATCTTCAGTCAACACTGAAGTTTACAATCATAGCATATTTGATCCAGTCGAGAGTGAGCCATCGGTCCAGGATAATACTCAGTGCCCAACTCAAGAAGTGGACCCCAGAAGTTTGCTTCCAGGAGAATTCAACCGATTATTACAGTTGTCATCACTACAAGAACTTAACCAATTAACTGACCATCAAAAATATATAGATAACGGTGACAACAATATTATTACTAATATGAATATGATGAATGTGGATGATAATAATACTGGTACTAACATGAATATGATGAATATTGATGGTAATAATATCAGTACTAATACGAATATTAATAATAATAGTATTAGCACCAATGAATCTATTACAATGGCAACACTTATTCTACATCCAAATGTCATCCAGGCTATGACTGAACAATGTTCAGATAGTGTACATTTCGAATCATCTGAAAGTAACATTGATATTAGACGTTTTTATTATGGAGAAAATCAAATTGATTATGATAACCAATATGCTGACAATTTATTCAACTTTTATTAAATAATAATAACAAGCGCACAAGAAAAATATATACATTATTAATTATTATTTTACTATCACCGAATAGACATTATGAATAACATTAAAAAAATTAGCCAATAATTGTTTGCTTATTATTATTATTATTATATGCAATTAGTACGAATTTGAATATATAGATTTAACTTAGAAATTAAAAGTTTGTATTAAAAATAAAGACTTATTATTATATTATTATTATTAACAAAGTTCAAATGCTTAACGAATGTCTAATTAGGTTAAAGAATGCCTAAGTTAAACTTGCGAATTTACTATTTAAACACACAAACGCATAGATATCCGTGCTAAATGCAATAATAATATTTTTTTTTTAAAGTCGCAAATGTCTAATATTTTATAAATCCTTGAAGAAATTTTGAAATGATTTCGAAGTTTTAAAATAGTTTTGAGTTTAAAACAATTTCAGACTTTCGAAATAGTTTTATTTGAATAAAAGTTCAATCATTTGGTGTAATTGAATGCTAAAATTAATTATGAATAGCTGGAATAATTTGAATAATCCTTATTCGAATAGAAACTCCGATTAAAAATAATTATATAGTTGACTTGGTCTAAATTTTGCGCAAATTTTAAAGCTATAAAAGTCATTTTCTGTCCTACATTTTGTAAAAAATGGCCTCGTTAGTTGATAGAACAGGTTTCTAGTTTTAATGTAGCGAAGAGATTTTCTATTTGTTAGAAAATTTCATATAAATTTTACGAAATTTAATTTTTAAAAAAAATATAATAAATTAATAATTTGTATAATGCAAGAATAAAATTTCCTTTTTTTTTGTAACACACTGTATATTTATTTATACATTTATTTCTTATTATTAGATAAACAGGACAAGGCAAAAGAAACAAGGTAGTTGTTATATAATTTATATTATTTATTTATTATTATTAGATAAATAGCAAAAGAAACAAGGTAGTTGTTATATAATTTATATTATTTATTTATTATTATTAGATAAATAGCAAAAGAAACAAGGGTAGTATTAGTATTTTAAAAAAAATATTTCCCGTCCTGCCAAATTTAGTAATGATGATAGAAAACTAATCTAAATGATCAAAATTTGGATGATCTTGCATCATAGTAAAAATTCGAATTTACATGGTGAAATTTTATAATCGAATGTCTTCACACCCTCGTTTGATACCCTTTGTTGTGTAGCAACCACCACAAAATTTGAGATATAACTTCTTTATCATATGTATCTGCTTTATGAAAATTTTAAGGCAGGTTGTTAATAAAACCGAAAATAATCTGACCCTCAAAGTCAAATTTTGCCTTTATATTCGTATATGCAGGAATTGGTTTGACGCAAACAAAAGTAGAAATAAATGCTCAAATATTTCATTATTATGAATATTTACAGACTCTTGATCACTTAGGCGTGTCTTTTATAGTAAAATCATTTATTTTAAAAATCAATAATATTAAAAGATAATATTATATAAATATGGTTTATGGTTTTTTATAAATAGACATTAAAAATTCCTTTTATGTCCTACAATGATAAATGTAATTAATAATGATTAAGTAGTATAAGCAAGCAACTATAATGATACCAGGAAAAGGAGAAGAGAGATGCAAAAATGTTGGTTTTTTTTATATTAATCAAATCAAGTAATTTTAATGTGAGTGGTTAGCTGTCAACGATCTTTAAAGCCTACATAAATACAACATACGATTTTTTTGGTTGATGAGTGATGAAAGTTTAGCTTTCAAATGAATCTAAGATCATCAACTTATTCCAAGAATTGATAGAATTACAAATTTTTTTAAATTTTAAATTTTTGGGTGTAAAAAAAAATCCAAGACTATTTTTTTATACACCAACGAATGGTAATCATCTATAAGTATAACATATAAATTGTGGATGTGAGGTTACAAATTTTTTATTGAATTTCATATGCGCTGATTTTGTTTGATCCCCAAAATTCAGTACGGTATGATCATTATGAATACTTTATACTAGCAAAAACCCATTGGTTTTTGAGGTGGGTCCATTGGTTTGACGGGTTGATGGATAGCAAATTAGTTTTTTTAGCAGAGCAAATAATTTTTTTTAGGGTAATTATCATTCTACCGACCAGTTTACACATTAAAAATACTCGTGTTCAACATCGAGACACAATAAGACATAAGGTTTGAAAAAAGGCCCAAAAAACCAAATCTGATATGTTGGTTAAGATTAAATCAAATAATAATGATTAATTGATTATATGAGTAATTTAGATGTATATAGATTATTGAAGTTTTAAATTCTCGACGATCTTTAAAATAGACATGGTAATAATATACGATTTTTTAGTGTGATAAATGATGGAACTTTGGCTTTCAAATGAATATAAGATCGTCGACTTATCTCAAGAACTGGTAGAATTACAAATTTTTGAAATTTTGGACTCAAATCAGTTGCAAAGGTTTAAAAGAATCAGTCTATTTTTTAATATATCAATGAACGATAATCATGTATAAACATAACATATAGATTAAGGAGGTAAGACAAAAAAGGTTCATTTCAATCAATTGAATTTTGGTGAAGATTAAAATCAAATGATAATGATTAATTAAATATATGAGTAATAGATGTAAATTGTTGATATTTTAACTTTCCAACGATCTTTAAAGTCTACATAATAACAACATACAATTTTTTAATATGATAAATGGTGGAACTTTGGCTTTTAAATGAATATAAGATCGTCAAATTATCTAAGAATTGATAGAATTACAAAATTTTAAATTTTGGATTCAAATCAGTTACAAAGGTTTAAAAAAATCAAAATCAATTTTTTTATACATCAATGAATGATAATTATGTATAAGCATAACATATAGATTAAAGAGGTAATACTACAAAGGTTTTTATTTCAATCAATTGAGTTTTGATGAAGATTAAATCAAATGATAATGATTAATTTAATTTAGGTGTAGATTGTTGATATTTTAAATTGTTGATGATCTTTAAAGTCTACATAATAACAACATACGATTTTTTTATTATGACAATGATGGAAATTTGGCTTTCGAATGAATATAAGATCTTCAACTTATCTCAAGAATTGGTAGAATTACAAAATTTTAAATTTTGGATTCAAATCAGTTACAAAGGTTTAAAAAAATCAAAATCAATTTTTTTATACATCATTGAATGATAATCATGTATAAACATAAGCATAACATATAGATTAAGAGGCAATACTACAAAGGTTTTTATTTCAATCAATTGACTTTTGATGAAGATTAAATCAATGATAATGATTAATTGATTATGTGAGTAATTTAGGTGTAGATTGTTGATATTTTAACTTAACAACGATCTTTAAAGTCTACATAATAACAACATACAATTTTTTAATATGATAAATGATGGAACTTTGGCTTTCGAATGAATATAAGATCGTCAACTTATCTCAAGAATTGGTAGAATTGCAATTTTTAAAATTTTGGATTCAAATCAGTTGAAAAAAATCCGACTATTTTTTTTATATATCAATGATGATAAAGCAACAGCACTAGTTATATAAATGTGATAATTACTATATAATTTGTTCAAAAAAAAAATTTTTTAATGTGTACATCATCCAGATTGCCACAAAAAAAAAAGAAATAGCACCATCCACCTAGGGCAACCCTGGTGCTTTAACAAAAAGAACAAAAAAAAAAATAAAAAAAAATAAATAAAAGACCGCCCCAACAATAACGTCGTGCTTGTTGTGCTTGGTCTGGTCGTGCTTGGTCGTGCCGGTCGTGCGCTTTAAATTAATTTTTCGTATAGCCGTCACTGAATATGCCGTCTCTTTTTTTTCGCGGCTCATTACAATGTTCGACAAAATGGCCATATCCAAGGCACTTGAAGTAGCTGGCTCGGTATCGTGGTTTTACATTTGGACGTTCATAGTGATAGTGCTCATGAGAATCGTAAAAATAACATTTGCGTATAGATAGTGTAGAGGATGCTTTGATTAGTTGTTGTTGATGTTGATGATGTATTACTACGACCAATACTGCAGTGATTGTTGTTACTTATGTTGTTATTGCTATTATTAGGACCACTACTACTAGTACTACTATTATTATTATTATTGGCCGTTTCACAGCTGCTTGCTATTGTTGCTGTTATTATTATTAGAGAATTGTTATTCGCACCCCTCCCGTGTGACTAAGACAATAAAATCATCACATTTTAAAGGCATTCATTGGTCACATTACTACACTTAATCACGGGAGGGGTGCGAATAACAAAAATGGGGGTGCAAATAACAATTCCCTATTATTAGTTATAATTATTATTTGTAGTGAAATAAATAAAAATGCTGACACAATCTATGACATTTTATCAAAAAACATTGAAAATTTAATTTCATCTAATAG